AACCTCGATTTCAAGTATGATGTAGAACCTAAAGCAGAGATGGATGCTGTTACAGTATATCCAGGGGGCTTAGGGCTGGAGGTTCTTGGAGAGTTCAAGACTATAGAGTAGCAAATTGAAGGGAGGCATGGATGAGCTGTACAGAAGTCAGATACAGCCGTCGGGAAGGAGAGCATGAGCAAAGATAAACAGCTGTTCCGCCTGCCTGAAAAGAGTATAAAAATTTAAGCTGAAGCAAAATGGGACTCTGAGAAGAGCGGAGACATGAAAAGTCTTTTCACGTCTGCTTCTACTTCTGCATTATTTGATTACATTGTTTAATGTTTGCTTCTCAGCTGTTGGTTCAGAGTAAATGGAAACATCCCCACTTTCCTGTAAATAGTTTAAATATCTCTCTATCCCAGCAGTGGAACAGTAGAGCTGTACACATGAAAACAATACATACAGTAGTTAAACTGTGATAGTGATTGTAAGGTGTTGTGAACGGCTTGAGTGCAAAGAGCTAAGCAGATGGGAAAATACTGTATATTCCGTGCCATGTGTTAAAGCTGAAATAACATGAAGCACAGTTTTAAGTGCAGACTGGTCGTTACTCATGTCCTGAGCTTTGACGTCTTTGCACTTAAACACTTGATTTTCTTGGCTCTATCTTATCCTCACTTTCCCCAAGGAGATTCTCTGAAAGCGAGAAATTTCGCATGAGGATGCACCAACTGCTGCAACGCTGTTCATTTTCACTCAGTGTCCAGTAGGTTTTCCTGGATATAGGCATGGACATAGGCAACACGCATTTTTTTTTAATGGGAACCTTCACGTCTTTCGTAAAATGCTGCTGTTGGACTCCCTCTGCCTGGTGCTGGCAAGAAGCTCTCTCATGACCTCAAGCAAAGTCAGTGGGGAGCTGGTTAAAAAAGGAAATAAAAGGAGGCACTGCTGAATCATGACTTTGGTACACAAACAGAGCTTATATCAAATCAGGAAGCAGGTGTCAGAAAGTAGCTTCTAGACTGAACCTGTATTATTGGTACCTTCCTTTCCATCCTTACCATTCCATAGTAACACTATGTGAGGATGGTATGACGACAAGGAGGATAATGCCTTGTGTTTCCTACAGGATTTAAAGAAAAAAAAAAACTGAACAATGGTTCTGTTCCAATTGAACCATGATTTTACAGTATACATGTTTAAACCTTTATTTTTCAATTAGTCTTGTACTTTGTGTTACTGTGACCTGTGAGACTATCCAAGTCTGCATGCTTTCCACAGAAGGTCAACCATTTCCCTGAATTCCACTTTGAAACGGTTGGGATCCTTGTTCATTTAAATGGTAGCATATGCAGTATACAGTATGTGCATCTTGGTAACCTCTCTGCAGTGCTTTTACTCTACGTACAGAGGTAATGTAATCTACAGACAATCTTCGTTATTTTTACAAGAATAGTGTAAAACACTTTTTCTGGTAGTTAAAGGTTCTGTATATCATCCTTTCTAGTTACAGAAATCCAACAGGAATTGCTTTATCTGTCTGTTTTTTTTTTCTCCACTGTCTTGGTACCCGTACCTGTTCCTTTTCCAGGATTAGGCAAAATGCTTCTGTCAGGTTGTTGACTAATAATGTTCCCTCAGAATCTGATTACTTTACAGATGTTGTAATTTCATTATGCTCTATAGTTTTCTAGTTTTTGTGTGGTTAACCATTGTGCTTCAACCAAGCTGGATTTAGGGAAGGATGTTTTTGTTGTGATCAGACATTCACCATACAAAAGCTGATAGAGAGAAGAAAAAGAGCAAAAAGTATTTAAGTGCAATACCAGAAATCAGGGTGTGATGACTACTATCGCAGGACCTCTGTATTCTAGATATACTATACTGTTAGACAAAGTTATAACTGTAACTATATACTGTAGTTAACTGTACACTGTGATTGGAAACAACTGTGGTCTGAACATTGATGAATGACATCTTAAACTTGAACTTTAACTTAAGGAGTCTGTCTTCACTGATCATGAAACTTTCATCTCAGACACACAAGAAACTAGTGACACTGTCATTTGCAGCAGTGTCTACACAAAGTTAACTCAAAATCAGTAATAAGAACACCATGTTTAAATGGCAGTCAAACCTGTGAACACTTTTTCTGACTTTGACATTACCACCAATAACTCCTCTGTTGGCCGTGGTCCAGATAAGGTTAATGTTGTCCAACATCTGGAAAAATGGCAATGACAAACATGACAACATTAAGATTCTACAGTAGTTTTGCACTCTTGACTGCACTGTCTGAAGATGAAAGCTGGAAGATGTCCAAAGCCTGCATTAAGAAGATCCAATTCATGCTACAATCTAAGCTGTCTACTCAACAAACACTGTCAAATGTATGCTAAATGATGAAATATGAGCCACTAGATAATGTCATTAGGAAGATAAGGCGTAAATGTTTGGGATACCTACATATAATGGAGAATATGTCAATTGCTAAAGAAATACTATATAACAATGTTACCCACCTGAAGAAAGTGTTAGAGGACTCTCAGCCATGTGATGGACAGAGGACATCAAAGCTGACCTTGGCTCAGAGCAGACGAATATGAGATAAATTGTCTGGTGTGCCTTGTTAAAAACATTTAACCCAAGAACCCATGAAATCACTAAATATGATTTTAATATATAAACGATGTGTTTGTCATACAGTACAGTATGTGTGAAGCAAGTTAATGTGTCTTTATCAGCTGCCCTGGTGAAAGTCACTGCAAGCTGGCACTTTGAGATGACACAGTGAAAAAGATCTATAAATCTATAAATAAAATAAAATAAAATAAATAAAATAAAATATAGATCTATAAATAAAAGCTTGTATTATATAAGCATGGAGGATTTCTGAAAATTGGTTTAAGAAGTCTTGAATTGGTTATTGGTATCATATTGCTCAAAACCTAATCAAAGAAAAACTATTCATTATTAATAAAAGCAGGAATAAATCTTTAACTAAAAGCACTTACAGTATCTCTATATCAGACATGTAAGTCTGTGCAGCTGTCCATGATGAGGCCCGTCACATCATTATCTCAGCCTCTCTCTGTTTCTGTTAAAGAGCTTGTGGCAATGATCAAATGCTGTCCTTTAAAATATACATTGCAGATAGGTCTGTAGACTATTCCATGACATCTCAATGAAGAATGCACATTTTCACGATATACGCTGGAAGTTTCTCAGATAGCACATAGTGCCTAAAGTCTCCTCTAATTCAACTAGTCATCTGGTGCTACAGTTTATTCCTTGTTGTTTCTGCTGAAACAGTGTTTTCAGTGGCAGCAGTAAGGTTGTGATACAAGTCTGCACCTGACCTCCAACAACGGAGAAAACATACAGTGGCTAAATGTTTACCCTTTTTTTGTGTGTATGGACTAATGTTTGTATGATCATTCACTTACATACTGTATGACTGCATTACAGTCTACATTATCTTTTCAATCATAGTAAATGTGTGAAAATGTATTTATTGGCCAATTACACATTAGTTATCATATTTACAATAATTTAAGACATGCTAAATCAGGATAGAAATCAGAAATACTTAAACCTTTGAAATTCAATACTGTATATTTAAAAAAAAACATTTTCCTTCTTTCTGTCAAGTTTATCAAAGCATATAATCAGATTCTGACGTACCCTCTTAAACATGGTCGGAATAAGTGTGGTGCTTTTAAACCCTCACCAGCATGTTTTCAGCTTCAGTCTTTCAGTTTTTCTTCCCAGAGGTAGGATTTAGATGAATTCAGATCCATGAATCCATGCTACACTCAGATCTATCCACAGTATCAAGAAACCTATTTGAACCTGTCTGAAGGAGCACAGGAGTCAAGTGGTTTCTGTAAAGATGCTGTAGATGCCTAACCAATTTTAGGCTCTATTTCAATGTTTTATTGAGGTCAGAGTGGTCAATATAATTCACACTTTGATAATTTTACCAGCACTCCTTTCACTTTCCTGAGACAGATGCTCATATTGTATGGTCTCATCCTAATAACAGTTGTTGAGTTGCGTGCAGTGACTACAACTTTCAATAATTCAGTACCCTTTTCCAGCTTCAGTAAAGCTGTGCTTCAAACCCCATTACTGGATGTGCAGTAACAACACTTTGATTCCTCATACTGGTCAGATCAATTAAATAATTACCCGAGCCTTCACCCTTTTCCTGGAGGTTAAATCAAGTTGTGTTGCTTTTTGGACGTCTTCCAGTTAACAGGTCTGAAAAATATGGTTCCTATGTCGCCTTATATTACAGTACAGTATATCGAAGACGGTAGCTGCCCTAAACGAGCGCAACTCGTAAAATGAAGTTGTTACAATGAGAAATGTATTCACATCTCGTTATTATAATATTAACAACGATACAATATTTTAAACGGTTTTTGACATTGACGCATTGTAAAAAGAGATGTCCTTTTGTTGCCTCTCCTATTTCGTGACAGGGAGTCAAGGCAGACTCATTCCGTGTGGTTGATTTTTACTGGGGGACAGATGTGTTCTGCAGATCCTAGACACTCTCTCTCTGTACCCCTCCCTCTCCGCTCGCTCACTCTCCCTCTCTCTCTTTCCCTCTGCCTCTGAGAATTCCTCATCCGAACCTCAATCACGTAGGATTGCGTAGAGATAGAAAGAGCTGCAAACCATTCACTTACTGAACACCAGGGACAAATACCGTCTTGTACTGTGAGGCTTGCGGACTATTTTGGAATTAATGTTTTCTGAAAAAAAATATATATATAGGTGCACAAATAAAACCAGGACACGGCGATAATACGATACAGTTTGTGAAATGTTCAAGGCAGCAATGTAAATCAGTTTAACCGAAGAATAATTACAGAGCATGATGTTACTGTACTCCCCACGTCTCTTTTTCATCTTTTTGAAAGTGCTCAGCGGAACAGGTTGGGGACTGCTTGCACGCTGACACAGATGTCTGGCTTCTTGGATAAAACAATGCAGACCGGGTACGCTGAACTGCGAAGCGATTGAAGCGGCAGGCTTTTTATTCCTATCTTGCAATTGCGTCTTCTTGTGTTCTGGAGAACTTAGAAAGTTATGGGACGATCAAGTCGCCGACACGAATACCCATAGACTTGCTGTCTTAAAGATAGGTCCGGCAAACACAGGGAAAAGTTCCCGGGGTCGTGTCTGATTTGTACGAGCTAGATATTTTGGATATTTTGGTCACAGAAACAGCGTCATGTGGACCTATGGAGGAAGCTTCGATTTGTGAAAACGGACAGCTCGAATTACCTGAAACATACCAGGTGCTTGAGGCACTTAATTATCCGAGCAGCTGTACTATGAATCAGGGCAGTCATACTGTTAATTACATGTTATATAATCATACATACTGTAAGTTATAATATCAGTAATACAATTTGATGTTATCTGTCGTGACATAACATTTATATAACCTAGTTTTCTTAAAATATTTGAACGTGAAACATGAGGGCACAGTGAAAATCGTAAGTAGCTGAATTAATTTAATCAAATATATCCTCAGCTTGTGACCGAAAGGACTTTCCCAATTATCTGAGATACTCTACCTGCCGATAGATCGAGAAATCGCTTCAGAAGGGAAGCCGTTCAAACCTTCGTTATTCACAAGGCTCAATGGATGTACTATCAGATCTTAATGACCTGTGGTTATACCCAAAGAGTGTTACATGCTCCAGAGCTGGTTTTCCTCCTGTTCTGAGCCCCGTGTTTTGGGATAATAACAATTAAAAACTACTGTGTTTTACGTGCCCATTACACCATTTTAATTTATCGTGTCAATTTGGTTGCTACACTTAATCTCTGCTTAGAAACTCTTTAAGCCTGCCGGGGAGATGGCAGCGGCAATCGCCAGCTCACTGATCCGACAAAAGCGGCAGGCTAGGGAGTCCAACAGCGACCGCGTTTCCACTTCCAAGCGGCGCACCAGCCCGAGCAAAGACGGGCGGTCCCTGTGCGAAAGGCATGTGTTAGGGGTTTTCAGCAAAGTCCGGTTCTGCAGCGGCAAGAAAAGACCAGTTCGGCGGAGACCAGGTCAGTCGAATAGTCGGGCACATTATTTAAGGTTCTCAATAATTACACCTGCCACTGATCGCCTGCTGTTGACCACATTTAGCTCAGGACAGCGTCTAAATCAGTCGAAGGAGAAACAATTACAAACGGACTAAGAATGCCATCTTAAAGACACACCTGTTCCATCAGTCATTTGTTGTTCTTTGTTAATAGCAAAAAAAAAAGTTTGTCTTGAAATATATGTGCAATAAATACTGTTTTTTTAGATTTAACAATAACTGTGTACAGTACGTACTGAAAATATGCGCTGGTGGAGAGATCAATGATGGAATCGATAGTTTTGTGATCTTAGTTTTGACATTCATGTTTCAGGGTATTTTTCTGACGTGTTTTAATATACAGGTACTACTGCAATGCACCAAGCATATTTCTGATAAAATAAGTAAACGTTCAAGTACATTTTTATCAGTTAAAGATACTGCAGGAACCTGGAGTTACAGTACTTCAGTAACGTTGTGGGTGGTTCTGAAAGTCTCTTCGTCAGAACAGCAAAACGTGAGACTATGCCTTTAGCTTGCACATACAGTATTGTACTTTCAATATTCGAAAAAGAGATCATTTTTAATATCATAGGCTCGACACCGTACAGTAAATCCTCCATGGCAGTCACGGAAAGCCACTATACTGTATTTTGTGAATAAACTGCCAGTCTTGCTCTGGACTGTCTGATATTTTGGCTTTTTTTTCTTCTCCCCATAAGATGCCTCCTCTACTCTTCAAGTACAAGTTGCACATAAGGGGCGCAGGCTAGGTCAGTAGCTCAGTATCAATACATGCACTGTGTTTTCCAGTCACTTCATCTTGTGTTCACCTCAGTCCGTCTATGGAAATTTTACTAGCTGTTTATTTTGATGGCCACCTCACTTCACGGGGATGTTCCTAGATAGCTATTTAGAAATTCCAAATGCTTTTTGTATCATGCAACATTAAACATAATAAACCATTACAGTATACTGTAGTGCAGAGTGTTTGAATGTTTCAAGTTCTTGTTTAATGTACTGTACCTTGAGTCATAGTTTTTCATACATCCATTCCACAACTCCATCATCATTGTTCATTATTATGATAAAATCTTAAAAATAGTATATTTTTTAAAGATGTGTTTAGTAATGTGAAACATGTTCTTGGAGAGTAAATTTGTATGTATTACGATTTCTTCAGTTTATAGAAGTTTTTTATAACTTGTAAATGTATTGCAGTGAGACATCAATTAGCCTATTAAATATTCAGTATAATGTATATAATCAACACATAAAGAGCTGAAACCTATGCTAAGAGTGTTGGTGACAAATTATGCATTAATTCCAGAATAATTGCTGTAATATTATGAAGATGCAAAACAATTCACAATTCATAAGTTGTAAGTTTAGTATATTGGGTTTTATAACTCATTTTGTGTCACCAGGCATATGTGATTTTATATTGTATTTCAAAGGCATTAAGTTGCTTTTTTTTTCGAAATACAGTATGCCTTCTTACACATTTTGATTGTTCTGGGCATGATAAAATAGTTTGTATTCATTAGAAATGAACACACGTAAGGGAATCAAGAAGAGAACAGTTTTCCAGTAAGTAGGCTAGAATTTCATGCAAACCTTTTTTAGTTGCATGAGGACCCAAATTAACTTAAATGAGTCTTAGGTTTGCATCGTGAATAATGCTTATTGTGTATATTGCATTGGTTAGAATTTGAATAGTGTTGGTTTCTGTGGTTTCTGTGATTATAGTATTAGTTTGCATTCATACAATGTTATTATACTGTACTAACATATACTGTACATACAGTACATCTACAGTTAATATAATGTAATACACAAGAAATGCCAGCAGACATATCACCCTGCAACTCACAACTGGCAACCCATTGAAGCTAAGCAGGTGTGAGCCTGGTCAGTACCTGGATGAGAGACATCCTAAGAAAAAACTAAGGTTGCTGCTGGAAGAGGTGTTAGTGGGGTGCTCACCCTGCGGTCCATGTGGGTCCTAATTCCCCAGTAGAGTGACAGGGACACTATACTGTAAACAGGCGCCGTCCTTCGGATGAAATGTAAAACCGAGGTCCTGACCCTCTGTTGGCATTTTTAATGTACTGTATCATTAAAAATCCCAGGGCGTTTCTCGAAAAAAGTAGGGGTGTAACCCCGGTGTCCTGGCCAGATTTCCCATTGGCCCTTACCAATCATGGCCTCCAAATAATCCCCATCTATGAATTGGCTTCATTCTCCCCACTCTGCTCTCCTCCCCACTAATAGCTGAATGTTCTGGTGCACTATGGCTGCCGTCACATCATCCAGGTGGATGCTGGTGGTGGTGGAGGGGAGTTCCCATTACCTGTAAAGCGCTTTGAGTGGAGTGTCCAGAAAAGCGCTATATAAGTATAAGCAATTATTATTATTCACTAACAGATTAATGTTGACACTTGCAGTCAATATTTATGGACTTTTATCAAATACTGTATACCTCTTTTCCATAAAGAGAAACCATTACATCTTTTTGAATCAAAGAGTTAAATCTACATAAAGTTAGTCTGGTATGGCACCTCATACTGTACAAAACCACACAGATTTTGAAGACATCAGTTTCTTTTCTTATATCACTACACCTATTTTCATTTTTGAAATTGCAGTTTACTTTTACAATACTGCTGTTTTGTAGTATAATATAAGATAATGTATTTTCACAATTGCTGGTGATCATCGGAGCTACAATTTGCTAATCTCTAATAATTATAAATATATTACAACATGTATGATTGCCTAGTTTCTAAAAATGTTACAAACTATTTTGCAAACTTTAAAATGTGCAAGAATAAAGAAGAGAGAATGGGAAAGGAGGACTATACAGTATGTCAGAAATAGTTTGGTTTCTAAAACTATTTAAATATAATCTGTAAAGTGCTGAATCTTTATACAGTACTGCATATGTTGATTTGCTATGTATAGTCTGTAAATCAAATAATTCCTCTAAACAGAAATGCAGAATTGGAGTGATGGTTGTAATCCTCAGTAGTGAAAAGCTGATTTTCTTTTGCACAAATTTATACTGATCTCAAAATACAGTACAATCAACAACTGTTATCAGTGAATCTGTTAGAAAAAAAAATGCTTAAGTTTGTCCACTTGGGTAGAAATATGGAGAGGGCAAATTGAGTTGACACACTGTCCTGGTGAAACTGCCTCATGAGGTGACTTTAGGTTTCTTAAATTTTATAGTTTATCTTGCAGGTTCTTAATTTGTCACCCCACCGTTTGTCAGCCCACAGTACAGTAAATGCAGTAACTTGACAGCAGCAGAGTTTTACACAAAATGCACGCTTTTCCATCTGTGGTGTTTGTTTGTATGTCTAAAACCTGACATGTCCTGCGTCTTGTCTCTTATTGCTTTTGGTTCTGATGAGTATATTCCAAGTTTCACATTTTCCTACAGTGAAGAAATACTTATGGGAAAAAAAAAGGTCTCGGTTTCCCTGTAATGTTGCACGTGAGTCATGTACTGTAGGTCACCAATAAATTCAGTTCCGATTGATTTCAGTGAAAAGGTTACCTGACTTAAGACAAAACTCCCTTCAAAAAGGATTCAGGAGGATAAAATTTACCAAAGATTCCTACTTTAGGATCCTACAGAGTTTGTAATGGAACACCTATGCCAGTGTGGTGACATGTCTCCTGTTATTTCTCTTTTCTGTGTGTTTTCCAGAACCCCAGCTGAAAGGGATTGTCACCCGGCTGTTCAGTCAGCAGGGTTTTTTTCTGCAGATGCACCCTGATGGCACCATTGATGGGACTAAAGATGAGAACAGCGACTACAGTATGTTATTTATTTTCTCTTCAAAAATACAGAACTGTCGACAGCTGGAGGTGGTGGCGTTTGTTACAAGAATGAAACATGTTTTTTTTTTGTCTTGGTGTATTGTAGCTACTGTATACTGTAGGAGCAACTGTGAGAAACGTCTTCAGAGAGAACTAATTGCACGTTGATCCCACTGTCAGTATTAAGAGATCTGCTTTAATTAAAATAGCATTCTGTGTTAAAACAAGTCAAGCATGGCATGAGTCAAGACGTATCCCCTTGTGTTCTTTAATTGCTGTGATTACACTAATATTTTCTGGGTTTGAAAAAAATTACAAATCATCCTGGCCATATACTGTACAGTATATAAAGTAATGTGTAATGTTTTGCTTGCTATTGTGTAGATTCCCTAAACTTGGCAAACAGCGCACATCTTGTCACAGTACTTTGTAAGCAGGGGAATAGGGAAATCTTCAATTGAATGCTAGGACATTTTGAAACAGCATTTTAAGATAATTTTGGGCATTATTTTAAAAAATAGGAAATGAGAAGAACATCAGAAGAAAAAATGTGTTCTGTTGTTACAGTAAATACTGTATGTCTACTTTCTCTCGACATTGCTATAATGTGGGCTCTGAGAGGAAGAAAAAATACACAGTTAATGTGTTGGAAGTGTTATGAATAACTTTTTCAAGGGGGGGTTAATTAATTAGGGGAATGGGACCTGTCAGATCAGAGTCAGATCACAGTATGTGTCAAACACTACAGAAGAAATGTAAAATGAATACAAAAAATATATTATGGAACCTACCCCCTGTTTTATTCCTATACAGTAGCAATCCACAGAAACCACAAAGCTACAGTATGTGTCTAAGAATACACCATTAAAACTTCCTGTGGAGCACCTGCAGTTGTTTAGTGGTAAATAGTCGGGATTGTTGTGCAAGATTAATGGTCTATTCACAATGATGGATGGCACCCATTTGCTTTCATTATCACTAAAGAAACATTCTGTTTTCAAGATAATTCACATTACAGGATATGTAGTAATTAGGCATCTTAAATATTGCACCTAACTTTGTGGATAGTGTTAAATCCTCTAATATGTCGAGAAGAAAAGGGTTTATAGAGGATGAATGAAGTAATACTTTCTCTTTTTGGAGCACAGAAAAAGCTTGAAGCAGTTTTGCTGGATTCTATTTTATCAAAAGCAAACTTCATCAAAATAGAAAATTGTTTTTTTGTTGTTGTGGCACATCTACATATAATAAATTATGCCTTGACCTGACATAATACATGACCACTTCTACTTTCAGTCAACTTGTATGGTTTTTCATTTTTAAGAAATTAACAAGATTGGGTGTACTGCACATGGCTTGAATTCCTTCTGTTGGGTTTCACATAATCATTTCATTGCTTTCCTCCAGAGGGGTTAAGTGTTCAATAAAAAAACATTGTAATAATGACTTTTTGTAGTTTAATGATAAAGCAGATTAGCACTAACCTAACTGAATGGTGTAAGGTTTATACAGTATGATCCCCTCTTATTATTGCCACAGATTCATAAAAATATTAAATATGCAGAATCGTACACAATATTTTGGGTGTGTGAGATCTGTTAAAAAATTGTAAACAACAGCTAGAATGTGAGAAGCTAAATCCTAAAGCTTAGCTGTGGAGAAACTATGGAGAAAGGAAAAAGATAAAACAAATCACAATTAGACCAAATCCAAACTGGATAATATGGAGGAACACTCAGATACAGTACCTAGGTTTCTTAACTTAGCAAATATAACTAAAAATATCTTTATCCATATGTGTATGGATTTGTACCAGATTAATTAATCTTCCCTGGGAATAGATTAGAGATAGTTATGCCATTGCTGTCTTTGAACTTCAAATCTGTATTAAAGTATGCAAATCTGAAAGTCAGGTTTAATGTAGAAACTTGATTACTAACAAATAGGTGGTTGCTGTTGATCTTGTAGGAATTATTGTAATCATTTTTGGTTTTGCAAGGATTAGAACACTGAAGAGGCTTAATGTTTAATGAACCGTGTTTTTACATTTATTTTTCAATTTAAAATATTTTTCTATATTTAAAATGTCTTTGTTGTCATTATTATTTTTTTCTTAAGCTACCTGATGAGCTCAGGTTAACCTGCTTCAAGAATAACTGAATTGAGCGGGAGACTCACCATGTTCATGATCATCTAGGACAGTGGTTCTCAGTTCTTGGCCTTCAGCACCTCCATGTCTGCTGGTGTTTGTTTCAACTTGGCCATTAATCACCAGAGCCAATTGCTGCCAGTGTGTCAGGATTCTAATCCCTCCCCCTTAAGGATTTTGCATTTTACCTGATCTCCTGCACCTGCCTCCTGTTCCGGTCTTCCCTTTAAAAGCCAGACGCTTCCACTGTTCCGGGCTCAGTATTTGAAGATGGACGCCACAAGGCTTGCCTATTTTCCGGGTTGTCCGAAGGCAAGCCTTTTCCATGACGTCCTGACCATCTGCGTCCGGGGCTTGGAGTGACTGGCCCTGTTACCCTTTTTTATTCCCTGACCCTTTTCCCGATCCCATCTGGCTTTTAACTTCGTTTGTCTTTGTCTTGGATTGATAACCCGGCTTTGGACATTTGCCTCCCTACGGATTTCCCTACGAGCACCCTTTGGACTTGTTTGCCTGGACCAAACCCCCCAAGCACCTTGGTCACGCCCCCCCTGTTTGTCTACCAGCCCAGTTCCTCGTCACCTCCCCCTGTCTGTTCACTCCCTTCTGGATTGTGCTGTCTGCATAGGGTCCTGAAAGACGCTACATGACACAGTGATATTGATCTACTTGCTTGTTTAGGCTTCTTTTCTGCAACCAGGCCTTGGTTTCAAAAATACCTGAGAACAGTGGTTCTCTGCCCTGTTTCTGGGTAGCCAGAACCAGTGTCTTCTGGTTAATTTATTTCAGTTTTCTGTTTGAGGCCCTTTTTTGAAAATTTGCTTACAGCTCTTACACTTGCTGAGTGAGATTTGGAATTGTTATCAGCCCTTGCTAATGCGTGACTTTCAGGGCTTGCCTCATTCAGGTGTGAAAACTGAAATATAACTGATTGGACTTAAGCAGAAGTAAAAATAGTTACTGATACATAGTTACTGGGAGTGTCTGATACACTGTCATTCCTACCCATGTTCATCAGTTCATCATCTTTTAAGAACATTTTAGTCAATAAGTAAGGAAGCATGTTATTGACTGTTGAGGAGAGACTGCATAGAATTTTGTGTGCTGAAGATTTTGGAGATGCACTTTAACTAAGGTATTTAACCACTGATTTAAGATTATATAGAAGCAAGTGAGGGAACGCTGAATGAAAGACGTAACAATAGTTTGAGAAGACACATACAGTAATTCTGTATTTGACCAGCCAAGACCACTCTGCAAAAATCAAGTGTTTGTTTCCTTTAGTCTATTTATGTTTTTTTTATCTCTTGGTAATCAATGGTGGGAGGAAGATTAAAACCGGTGTTTTTCTTTTGTTTGGTAGCCGAAGGCCAGTTTTTATCAGGAGAAAATGCGCATCACCCTCCCACACTCTTGCTGCTTGCATCATCTTCTATATTTGTGTATCTCTTCAGACTATTTCATGTGTGTTTCATTCTTTGTGATTTTAACTCTGTTACTTCCAAGAGGGCTTAAGTCAGGTTGAAAATGTGATGCCAACATGAATGTTTTACAACAAAGGCAGCGGTAATATGATATTTCTTATAATACACTTTGATTCAAATAGGTGTGACTTCTGTGTGACGTTTGCATGGCTTCCCTGTGCTCTGTTGGCTTTTCTAGGTTCTTTGGTTTCCTTCTACCTTCCAAAGGCTGGCTCTAGATTAATAGGTTCGTAGTCAGGCAGGCAGATTAATACAGTATGTACTAGATGTACTAATCTAGATTGCCCCTGTGTGTGTGCAGTATGTCCTATGGTAGACTGATGTCCAATGTCGCCACCTGGGTCGTAGATCTACTGGACAGTTTGAAACAGGACAGACTGTACATTTGCTAAAGCAAATTAACATGTCAGCTAAGCAGAATGACACTGTTGCTTCTGTTTCTTTTTGTCAACCAGAGATTCCAGTGATCTAGTGGTCCGAACTGCTGATCCTTACTACTAACTTCTTGGACAGTATCTGTGCAAATCAGGAGGATGTATGAATGTAAAGAGGGTGACCACCAAATCTGCATTTATTACCATTCCATTTAGCATTAAAGTGTGTGCAGTGTGTTTGTACTAGAACTGTGAAATGCATTATTTGTTGTTGAGTACTATGTGCAGAAGTGTTACCGGTTAGAAACTAAACTTTAATGCAGTCTGGGTTGACAGCCAGAAAACGATTAAAAAAAAAGAAACATGGTTACCAAGATGTGACCCGCAGAATGTAGTTCATACCATCAGAACAATTAAATTTCCTGGCAGGAGTTGTGCGGGTTTGCTGATGTTCATTTAATTAAACTGTTTCTTCCTTGCAGTTCCAGATATAAGAGCTCAGAGATGGTGGAAGCATAGCGGTTCTGCATTAGAGATTAATAATTTGATGCAGTGCAGGAGATAACTGCCAAAGGATTGAAGTTATATAAATCACATACATTTTCTTTAGTAAATGCTTTGCCAGTCGTACAATATAGAAATCTGCATGTGTAAACAGGAAGAGGATTCTGACCTGCCAGGATTTAACAGACATGTCATGAGTCTCTGTTTTGGTTTGGGGTCTGATTCCCTGTTTAAATTCCTAATCCTGGCTCTCCAATGATGCCAAGATTCTTTCAGTACTCAGCAGGGAAGTGATAGAACCAGCCAGTTAACTAGATCTTCAGGTCAGCTTCATCATCTACAGTATCTTTTTTATAAACTTTATACAATTTTATAGAGTTTACCAAAGAAAGGTCAGTGTTCTTCTTCTGACAAATGGCATAATTCTGGTTAGATTTTCATGACCCTCAGTACTTTGAGTTATGTAAATCTTTTACGTAAGAATGAT